GACGGCAATGACACACACACAGTGACACACACACAGTGTCACACACACACAATGACACACACAGCTACCTCTGACGGCAATGACACACACACAGTGACACACACACAGTGTCACACACACACAATGACACACACAGCTACCTCTGACGGCAATGACACACACACAGTGACACACACACAGTGTCACACACAGCTACCTCTGACGGCAATGACACGCTCACATCCCACCGCGGCCGCTGTGCGGATTATGGTCCCTGCGTTACCCGGATCTTTCAGACCGTCCATCACGACTGTGATTGGCAGCGTCTGGTCTCTTGGCACGCTCACTTCTCCTGCATGTGGTTTCTTGAAGACTCCTTAGAATCAGAATAAAACGAAGGGTTTGAATATGAAGAATAATTAGCTTTCAAGTCAAGTTTGTAAATCATCTTTACAACAAGTGGTCCATATTGAGAAATCAGCTAAAATATTTTGCTGCATCCACTTTCCCCACAGAAGTATAAAAGAAAACAAAAAGAAAAATAACCAAAAAATTACCTAACAAATATAAGCTAAATAAAATAATAAATTAAATAAATTATTACACTTTTATTTGTCCAAGAAGAGCACTTTGTTTTACAATGGCAAACATACATACATAAATACATAATTATAAAAACGTACATACATAAATACATACATGCATAAATACATACATAAATACACACTATTACACAAATACAGAACAGTTTACAAACAATGCCACTGTCGGTCGCCACTGTGCAGCGCCCTATAATTTGAGCTAGGGTTGTCGTGTCTTGCTCAAGGACACACTCCACTGACCACCCATCTGATCCCCGTGTCACAGACACTTGCTCGACATTGCTTGAGTCAAAACTCACTACTCACTTAGCCACTGGAGCCCCCAATTACAATATATAGAAGAAAAGACAGGCAGTTTAGACAGTAAGAGAAGCTAGCTCTCTCCCATTGACCCATTCAAAGAAAGATTGTAAGAAATGAGAAATATTCTGACAGGATAATAAAAAATCCCAAATATTTTGCCAACAGTAAGAATGAGACAGGACATTGAGGTTAATGTCTCTCCCCCCCCCCCCCCCCCCCCCCACCTCTTAAATAAATACTGCATTACTACAATTCTCAGTGGCAAACACCATACATATTGTACCAGCAGAGGACTTTTAGTCACAGCGGAGGGTTCCCCGCCGGGCACCGTATCATGGCGGGGTCACAGGGGGTCAACATCTGGTTTTCCAAGTTTTGAAAGCAAGGCGCTTAGGCTTAGCAAAAGAGGACCCAGAGTAGCTGCAGCAGACTGCATGACCCGGGCAGTGTGGCATACAGACGTAAGTCATTTTTGGCAGCCTTTGAGATACGTCTGTATGCAATACTGCCTGCCACCAACCTGACAGAGCCCACAGCACGACTACGAACCTGACAGAATCCACAGCACGACTACGAACCTGACAGAACCCACAGCAGACTACGAACCTGACAGAATCCACAGCAGACTACGAACCTGACAGAACCCACAGCAGACTACGAACCTGACAGAATCCACAGCAGACTACGAACCTGACAGAATCCACAGTGCCTGCAGCAGACTATGAACCTGACAGAACCCACAGCAGACTACGAACCTGACAGAGCCCACAGTGCCTGCAGCAGACGGTGCAAACCTGACAGAACCCACAGCAGACTACGAACCTGACAAAACCCACAGCAGACTACGAACCTGACAGAACCCACAGCAGACTACGAACCTGACAGAACCCACAGCAGACTACGAACCTAAGAGTCCGGAGGGCGTGGTTGTGTCCGACCAGGTCTTCATGTCTCTGTAGAGAATCTTCATCAGACCGACGCCCGCCAGGCACTCAGCGGGCAGTTTGTCCAGCACGGCCGGGTCAGTGAAGTACAAAAACTTAGGCTCCGCCCCCAGCAGCAGCGCATCGCGGATCAGTCTTGTACCTTCCAGGACGATAGTGTCGTCCTGGCCTTGAGATTTACCGGCTTTTGCAGCAAGTATGGTCCGCCTGAGGGCATTGTCATTCAAATTCATATTAAATTATGTTACGGTATAGGTTTAGTCATAATCCTGAGGAAAAAGCAAAAAAGCATTTTATTATTGTTAAGATGAAATCACAAAGTAGTTTCAACTCTTTCCTGTCATAATTTTTCCCCTCTATTAGAAGGAATTGATTTTTGAAAGGGCCCAGGTCTTGAACAATCAGACCCATCTACAGACTTCAACATAAGTTAAGGACCACTTTCAAACACTCTTTGAGTCGTCTTCTTGGGTCGACCTGCACGTGGGCGTTCTTGGACTGATCCAGTGGATTGATGGCGCTGCCTCAAGCGGACAATGATAGAGTGTGACACTGCAAGCCTTCTGGCAACTTCTCGGGCTCCAACTTCATCCTGCAGCCATGCCATAGCCCTGGTACGATCAAAGTCTCTCAGCCTTCGTCTTGATGGCATGTTGATGCGATACTGGATTTTGCACAAACAGCCGCTTATATTGCCACCACAGTGAGCACAGTTCGAGACCGTACGTCCATTTATGACGTGCACCAGAAATTTTGACTGAGGAATGTCCATTGTGTCGCACACAAGTCGATCAAAAACAGCAAATTTATCTAAAATTCTCCGAGGATTTCCGTGTTGCATGTGGTGGTTTTGCCCCTTTAGGAAGCTTTGCAGTACACATTGTTAACCCATTAACACTTTCAAAGCAACAATTTTGAAACATTCCTTGCTGTCTTTTTTTTTCGGATAAAAAAAATAATCAGGGCTGTCTGTCAAGGTGGTCCTTAACTTAAGTTGAAGTTTGCAGATATATATAGCTCTTAATCATAGTCATCTTCAGAGTTTTAAAAAAAATCAGAAGTAGAACATAATCACCTGCGAAACAGACTGGGAGAGGGCGGTGGGATTCATCTTTCCCGTTAAAATCACTAACTGTTCTCACTTTTCCAAAAAACCCCAAAAGACGGTTCTGTAATTATTACATGTTACATTGTATGACCAAACGTGCTCAAAACCTCTATTTTTGCTTGCATAAAAATAGGGAAGGAAATCAGGGACTCAGTTGTAGTTGTGGAAAAAAGGATTTTATTAAAAGAATAACTTCCTCAACCGCACATGTTGAGCAAAACGAGACATGTTATGAACGGAAGCGCCCATCATTGTCCTCGGGGAAAGCTGTAAGGCAATAGAAGAAGAGTTGAAAATATGGGACTCTGAATTCTTCAAGGACAAGGAAAAAGCACGGAAAACAGTGTACCTTCTTCAACACTACTGGAATAAGTAAGGGAAAAAGAAAAAGAAAAAGAAAAAGAAGAAAAAGAAAAAAAAGAAGATGACAGACCAAGCGCGCAATAAAGACAGAGAAACCATAAATTTGACGAAATTTCTAGTGGGCCTATATTTTTACTTTCACTCCCGCACACAGATGCACTGCTTTGGGGGTCAAACTGCAGTATTTATTTTGCTGCAGATCCCAATATCGGGCTACTAAAACTGTCACAAATCAATTATTTTCAAGAAAATTTCAAACCTAACTGCAAAAAATAAAATAATAAATTTTGTTGGTTTTACCTCACCCCCCGACCCCGCATTGGTCCAAAGTGCATTTATAAACACTGCTGTATACAATTAGGCTTAGCCTGATATAGTTTGATTGATTAAAAACAATAAAATTCAAATATTTTTTAAACGAAGTGGCTAGCTGTACTTGGCTTGCCTGCCAGTCTAGCCATCCTTAGGTTAGGCCCTTATATTAGAAACCTGTTGAGGACACAGAGGTCTCATTAGTAATTATTCAGGTTTAATATATGCACTGTTAGTAAAGCACCTTTTGGTTTTGTCTAACACAAATGGAAGAGCACGTACTTAATAATAATGATGGCTGATTGGTAAACAAAACTTTTAGTTTGCAATACCTAAAGTCTTCAGTATAAATTTTGTATTTCAGATGAAACCCAAAAGGCGCCTCACTGACATCATGCATGTATTTTTAAACCTGAATAATTACTAGATCTAATGAGACCTGCGTACTCAACAGGTTTCGGTCAATAGGGCTTAACCTAAGTACGGCTAGACTGGCAGGGTAGCCGTACTTAAGCCACTTCCAATACTTTAGAGGTGTAAAAGTTTATTATTTACAATTCAGTAGACCTATGTTTTTCTGTTTGTCAGTCTAGCTATCATAAGTAAGAGTACGGCAAGCCTAGCAGTCTAGCCGTCATTAAGTACGGCTAGCCTCTTCCTTTTTATGAAACTAGTAATTTGCTACGGAAATGAAGTCGATAGTCGTGTTCAGCGCATCATAGATCTAGAAAAAGGACACCTGGTAGGTGAGTGTGAGACGGAATACCTAGTAACCATACGTTCAGTTTTAATGGACTACACTGTATTTTTAGATCTAGATCTAGAGATCTATGTGTATGATTCATTGGATGAAAAATGAAGTAGAATCTAGACTCTAGATCTAGAAAATCTAGTCTATCTAGATCTAGATTTCTAGTCAGAGTCATGGTCAGATCTACTACTAGTAGATTTAGAACTACATAGAATCTATAATATTAGGCTGCGGTTATTGGTACAATAGTGCGTACAACTCTAACTAGATCTAGTTATTAGTTAATAACCAGACAAAGTTATTCGTACAATTATTCAAATTTTGGATGTTGTTGGTTGGTAAAAATAAGCCTAGATCTAGTCATCTGGTTCTCCCCTGGGTTGAGCATCAATAATAACTTTAACAAGGCCAAAATTGGTTGATCTATGCTTGATTATAGATTCTAGATCTAGATTAGATCTATTATTATGACTAATCTAGAATCTGTTAGATTTCTAGATCTATGCTTCTTTGTTTTTACAATTTACACAAAACCATGGAAATCTTTGAAGTCAAAACAAACAATTATGGGAACAAAATTGTTGGTCAGTTGGGGGAGGAGAGAGAAGAAGAAAAAAACAACAACAAACTTTTGGGACCGGGATTCGAACTCACACACATAATATTTATATATACTTCTCCAAGCGCAGACACGCTGTCATTTCGGCCATCAGAACTATCAACAGAATGAGGTAGATTAAGCTTAAATATTTTTACAGCACGGTTTCGAATTTTGGAGGTTGTTGGTAAAAATAAGCCTAGATCACCATTGGAAACACTGATCTAGAATCTAGACCTAGCCTAGATCTACTAAGACAGAAGTAGGCGTAGGCCTGTGGGCATTAAGAGGCCTATTATTGTACGGATAACAGTAGCAATTATTCGTACGGAAGGACTTCCGTAACGAGCGACCATTATTGAACAGATCAGAATTGAGGGTTTGGGGTAGGGGTAGATCTAGGGGTAGGGGTAGGGGTAGGGGTAGTGTTAGGGTTCGGGTTAGGGTTAGGGTTAGGCCTCTTCTTTATTGTGTTTGAAGGGGTGGTCGCTCGTTACGGAAGTCCTTCCATTCGTACAATGGTGTAGCAATTGTGCGTACAATGTTGTACGGATAACTAGACAGAGTTGTTTGCACAATTGTACAGAACCACTCCGATCCGATTATAAATAAGATTAATCTAGATCATCTAATCTAGATCTAGATCTAGATTCTAGATTTAGATCTACTAACCCCAAGCGATAATCTCCCTCCATGATTTTTTCATATTGCAAGCCAGAGTCCGTTCTGAAGAGGTTGGTTTGTGACTTGATCTTTTGAATTGTTCTGGTTGTCGTAGGCTTCGGGTTCTTGCGGACAGCAATATTCGTACCAGCAGCCAGGCTCCGAATAGCATCACCTTGAACTGGATCTCCGGGAACGAATGGGTATCTTGTGCTTTTTCGGGGATCAGAAGCATGGTCGTCTTTTCTTTTAGTAACTCTTTTATGACGACTGTAAGACCTACAAAAGGCACCTAGACTGGTGCTCCTGTAAGTGTTGAAAATAAGCTTCGATGCTAACGACATTTTTAGGCGTAAAAATAAACAACGGAAAGGTCAAAGGGGATCAAAGTTCTGAGCACTGAAACGACATGGGCGCCGCCATTTTGTAGATTGCCATATATCACGTGACCCATGGCTAAATCCCAAAGACCTTCCACTTTCATTGAGTTGGACAAATGAACGACTGAAGTCCCGGAAGTGCGACGTTCAGTTCAGAGGCGACGCTCGAAACGTGTTGTTTGCGAACTCCTTGCACCGGAGACAAAGTTACTTACCAGCAAGAAGATTAAAAGTAATGGAGGATGCTCTGTGGGCGGCACCGCACGCCTGATAGGAGCCCTCTCTCGCGGC